AAACAGGATCGCACTCTTTCTGTTTGTCCATTTCTTCCGTTGTTTTCGTCATTCTCGTTTGAGCCTGTGGGTAGCAAAAAGAAACTGATTTTACAATGCTTTCGTCAGTGACAAGTGGCAATTCCTGCCCCCCCCCCTTCACCTTTCTTTCAATTCGTGTTTGCATTTAGAATCTCCTTGGTCTGGGTATGACTGCCGTCACAGAAACAATTAGCCTTTCCAGATCTGATTAGCATAGACTCATTAGTCCGCAGTTTCAACGTCTACTCCACGACAGACTTTAAGGAATATACACTTCACCGTACCATACGAACCAGAACTTTAGTCTTTGGCCGTTCTTTGCGACCAGACACAGAGGTTGTATTGGAAAGAAACATGGCTATATGAAATCCGCTGCATAAGACTGCTCTGTTGTATTTTACATGTGCTTAACAGATATAGAGGCTGTTGCCACCCAGCAATGCAAAGCATTTGAGGGGAAATGTTGACCCATTGTAACATACTCGTTCAAACCTAGTTCTTCAATTTTCGACCTATTTCTTTCAGCTGATACCTGATCACTCCGCTAGCTGTGGCCAGAGGTTCATCCATTGCCTATAATTGCCAAACATCTTGAACAGGGCATACGTTTCCCCTTTGTCTAAAATAAATGGAATTCTAGGCGACGACTCTCTGTGACTTGCACAGCCTATTTACCTCGGTATGCATACCTCAGTCAGTTTGTTCACCTCACTCTTATCCACTGGTTTCTGCCTTACACTGCAGTGTGGTGCTCGATCTTGTTAGCCGAAATTAAATTAATTTTATGAGTGCTTTACAAATCGAAAGTTGTGAGTATCAGTTCTGCATTTGAATCATCACAGCCAAAATTCCGAAGTCTTCCCCTCTTGAAAACCTTTCGTCCGACCAACTAAAGCTTAGTTTTTCATGCTTCATGTTGACCCAGTTCATGTCTACCGTATGAAGTTTTTAACGGTCCGTACGATTTCTTCCAGTTTTAAGAAAAGTCAGTTTGACAGCTCCGCCTCATTATCTAGGCCAATAAGCAAAGATTTTCGGGTACATAAAGGGTCTACGCTTTAAGTTAGAGAGTTTTCGTTGCACAAAAATTTTAACTGTAGGCAAAGCATTTTTTTCTGATATTCCATTTTTATTGTCAAAAATGCCACGGTCGTACTGTACTGGCAATCCGTATGTTTTGAAATATCATATGTCCCGAATCCACGCATTGTTAGTTTTTTTAAATTTACCATCATGCCATTGTGCTTTAAAAACTCTCATGGCCCGTAGTTGAGTTAACAAAAAATGTTAACTATATTTGCTTTCATTTTCGCTAGTAAAATCTAGATTATTCCAACAATTCTCAGCACTGAATAATTTATTCTGTCCTCGCCAGCTGATCACACATTACATTCTGGCATACACTGAACTCGCTGAAAATAATGATTGAATAATTTTTTCAGCATATAATTAATTGCAATCAGGGACAAACTGCATATCCACATGTCATCCAGACTTTCGTCGCCTTATGTAGGCGTAGGTTTGGGTTTCTGAGGGCTGGTTTTAACTTTAATCTGTATTAATGCGTGAGGACAAAGCCGACTGCCCTCTTCCTCGTCATGACCTCCCACTTTCCATAGACGGACATGGGCAGAAAGCAGCTGTTATTGTCGTATAGCCATCATTCGACCAATGTTTATTGTTCACTTTTTAGCTGTGCGGTTTGGACGAGTTCCGAAAAGGGAAAAGGCAAAAATAATCGCCGATATGCAAAGGACCAGCTTCCAGTCGAGGACGGACAACTTAACTGTTGAGCTGGAGGACGACGAGAACATAATCACATCAATCGTCAGAGCGCATGCTGACACAAGCGAAATTCTTCATGACCGAGTGCTGTCAGTTTTGGACCACTACAGAAAAATGGCCTTTGACCTACCGATCTCGACAGTGGTAGGTTTGCATTGTTTGCGTTCTATATTGCTATGACAACTCCATATTAATAGGGAACAAAATTACAGGTACTGCATTTTACAGATGGAAAAGTTTAAAGTTTAAGAAATTTATTCATACTGCAACCTGCAACGGTGTTCCCCTGTTAATGCACAACATGAATAATGCAGTAACAGAAAAACAGGCCAGCTATGTTATTTGCTAGGAAATGCTGATGGATTTGATAGGTGAATATCTAAGTAAGTAAGAGCTTGGAAATGCCATTTTTGGAATGTCCTTGAAAATGTTAAGATTGATTACATGAAAGCTCATTGGTTGAAGCGATGACTTTTCAAACTGTTCCAGCGAGGCCACAGAAATCTGCCAGGAATTCAGCGGGCATTAAGCATATATGTTGGATTTATGGATCTGAAGCGTTGTCCTAGATATTAGGGCGCATAGTTTCACGCTGTTTGAACCCCTGAAAATTCCAGACTATTCTAATTCACAAAATGGAGTCAGAGTTGATTTGAAGAACCAGATGCCGATTAGTTTTTTGCAAGAACGGCATGTCAGTACCATCGACAGGATCTTCACGAAGGTACTGACGAACGGACTGCTAGAAAAACTGAACGCAGCACAGTCAAGGGGGCAGGCAAGATTCAGAAGAAGATTTAGCACGATGCTTTATCTCCAGGTGGTATAAGTAATTCAGACAAACAACGGATATCACCTTCTCTCTGCCTGAAGATCGTCAATTTCGAGAAAGCCTGCGACTCAGTACACATCAATTCTGTACTGGATTTCTTGACAAGCCACGAAATCGAGAAAAGGTAGAGATACTCCTTTGCTATG